GGCATCAAAATTGGAGGAAGAATTATCAACAATCTGCATTATGCAGATGATACTTCCCTGCTTGCTAAAACTGAAGTGCTTGTATTTTTCCATTGTTGTTGTTAAGTGCTGTCGAATTGTAGGCAAAGACCTGAATACCTGTATGATGTTCGTTTCTCCAGATTTATAGGGTTTCCGGATGCAAGCTATTTCAGAAGTCGATGCCACTCCTGCTTCCAAGCTTGTTTTAGTCAGGGAGCTCCACCAAACACTGTCCACTATTAACACATTTGACACATCAGTGTCACAGTGTTCAGCATCACAGCAACCATGAGTTACTTCTGTACAGCAAGTGGACAGACCAGGGCTATATGACATAAAAGAATGTTTGACCAAAAACAATTAAAACCAGGCCTGAGGGTCATGGATTAAAGTCACCCATCTTTGGCTTGGTAGCATCACTTTCTGTCCACTAGGTCAACTGAGCTCTCTCATTTTTGTCTTTGTTAACTGCCGTTGTGGTGCCTCTTGAAATGTTTCAGTGTCAGCCAATTCTTTTTGGTACAGTCACTCTTTGTGTTTCTTCCATCTTCTTTTAAAATTTCCTGGATTATTCGAGATGCCTGTGGCATCTTTCAGTATCGCAACTAGAGGCTTGAATTTTTTTTTTTAAGTTCTTTCAGCTTGCAAAATATTGACTTTGTTTTTATTCTCTGACTCCAGCTTCTCAAATATTTCATTTTGGTCTTTGGTTTGACTCCTTAAGCTGCCCTTTGGAATTCTCTGTTCAACTCTTTCACTTCTACCTCTCTTCCCTTTGTTTTGACTTCTTGATGCTCTAATGCAATTTTCATAGTTTCTTCTGTATCCAATTTGGGGTTTTCTTTCTCTTCTGTCATTGCAATGACTTTTTGCTCTCTTCATGAATGATGTCTTTTATTTCAGTCCATAGCTCCTCTAGTTTTCAATCATTGATGATAAATGCCTCAAAACTGTTCTTAAAATGATTTTTTAATTGAGGTGGAATTGACTCAAGGTTGTATTTTGCCTTTTGTGGATTTGTTTTGATCTTCTTCAGCTTTAATTTGAACTTGCACATGTGTAGTTGATAGTCTGTTCTGGTCTGGTACTGATTCTTATTATTGAGATTCTCCAACAATTCTTTCTGCAGATGTAGTCAATCTGATTCTTGTGCTGACCATCAGTGGAGGTCCATGTGCAAAATCACCATTTCTGTTTCTTAAAAATAGTATTTGCTATGAATAAATCATTGAATATACAAAATTCAATCATTTGCTCTCCTGCCTCATTTCTGTCATCAAGTCCGTACTTTCCAGCTGCCATTCTTTCCTCATTGTTTCTAACTTTTTCATTCCAGTCTCAAATAACTTTCAATTCATCTTGATTACATATTAGACCAATTTTTTAACTACAATTTGGTTGTTGTTGCGGTTGTTTTTGTTATGTGTCTATCATCGAGCCACTTGTGACTCATAATGACCCTATGTACAGCAGCTCTGAAATCTGCCCTGTTTGGAGCCAGTCTCACTGACTCTGACAAAACCAACTCTCATTGCTCTAAATATTGTATCAATCCATCAAATCTAGAGTCTTCCTCTCCTTTGCTGTCCCTCCACCTTCCTGAGCATGATATTTTTCTTTAAGGACCAGTTTCTCCTGGCCACATGGCCTAAGTATGTGAGATGGAGCTTCAAAATCCTAGTCTCCAAGGAGAAACTTGGTTTCACCCTCTCCAAGACAGACCTATTTGTTTTCTTAGCAGTTTATGGTATGTTCAAGACTCTTCTCCAGCACCACAACTCAAAGGCATCGAATCTTCTGTCATCCTTAGTAATTGTCCAACTCTCTGAACCTCAACATCTTGCTCTTTGGCTTTAGTTGTTGATGCAATATCTGAATAATAGTCCTGTTAAGAGGTCTGCTTTGTATGGGTATGGATATAATCCTTTCACTCACAGCATAGTACTTCAGGATAGACCTTGAAGTTGTTCTTTCATTCTGAATGTCACATTTTTCTTCCTCAGTTCCTGTCATAGGAGTTAGTTATATGACCGTCTAATTCAAAGTGGCCCTTGCCAGTCCATTTCAGTTCACTAACACCTGGAATTTTGATCTTTGTGCATTCCATTCCATTTTTTAAATCTTCACATTTTCTTACATTCATAGTGCTTGCATTCCACATTCCAATTTTTAATGATTGTTTGTAGCTGTTTCTGCTCATATTTGAGTGACTTAACATCTGTGCTCTACTTCTAAAATTATAGCTATTTACCTATCTATCTCTATTTACAGGGTTTTCAAGAGCGTGTTGTTTCAGAAGTGGATACTGATCTAGTTTCCTAGTCTGTCTTATTCCAGGAGCCCGGCTACAACCTGTCCATCATGGATGACCTCTCTAGCATTTAACAAACTTGCTCCCATTTGCAAGAAAGACGGTCTAACAAAATATGGAATTTATCGAGCAATTATCATTAATATCACATGTAAGCAAAACATTGCTGGAGATCATCTAAAAATGACTGGAACAGTAAGTATATCAACTTGAAACTGCCAGAAGTTCAAGTTGAATATAGAAGAGGTCATGGCATCCGGGATATCATTGCTAATGTTAAATGGATCCTGATGGAAAGCTGAGAATATCAGAAGAATGTTGGTGCTTTATTGACTACGGAAAGGCATTTAATTATGTGGATCACAACAAACTATGGGTAACATTGAGAAGAACAGAAATACTAGAACAATTATTTGTACTCCTATGGAATCTATTCCTAGATTAGGAAACTATTGTCTCAACAAGAGAACAAGGGAACACTGTATGATTTGAAATTGGGAAGGATGTTCATCAGAGGTGTATGTTTTCTACCTATCTCTTCAATCTGTATGCTGAGCACATAATTCATGTATACAAACTATGAAGAAGAAAGTGGCATCAATATCTGAAGAAGACACCTCAACAACCTGTGATAGGCATATAACACAACCTTGCTTGCTGAATGTGAGGAGGACCTGAAGCACTTGTTACATAAGATCAAAGACCTTCAATATGAATCATATCTTAACATCAAGAAGATAAGGGTCCTTACAACTGGGCAATATCATGATAAATGGAGAAAAAAACCCTGAAACTATTAATGATTTCATCTTACTTAGATCACTAATCAATACCCTTGCTACCTCTCAACAGTCAGGAGAT